CAGGCATCGTTGTTTATTAATTCCACCCGAGACAAGAATGAGTTAAGTAGAATAAAAAAGGAGTTAATGCAAGTGTAGGCGAGATGGTCTAGTGGTAAGGAGGAAGTGTTGCAAGTGCGTAAAGCCAGGTTCGATTCCTCGTTGTGCCGAAAGCATTTTAATGTCAGGCATCGTTGTTTATTAATTCCACCCGAGACAAGAAAGAGTTAAGTAGAATAAAAAAGGAGTTCATGCAAGCGTAGGCGAGATGGTCTAGCGGTAAGGAGGAAGTGTTGCAAGTGCGTAAAGCCAGGTTCGATTCCTCGTTGTGTCGAAAGCAATTTAATGTCAGGCATCGTTGTTTATTAATTCCACCCGAGACGAGAAAGAGTTAAGTAGAATAAAAAAGGGCGTCACAGCAAGTGTAGGCGAGGTGGTCTAGCGGTAAGAACGAAGTGTTGCACGTGTGAGAAGCTAGGTTCGATTCCTGGTTGTGTCGGAATAATTTTGGGCAGGGAAATGTTCGAATATAATTGTATTAACTTTCACGTCTTGTTCGATTATACATTCAGCTGTAAAAACCTGTTTTCTATCGTCTAGTGATGCACGAATCAGGCATGGTCAAAAGGCATAGGACCGTAGATTCTAAAAATACAATTTTCGGACCGTGCCAAATTCCAGTTTCTGCTGCAGAGGCCTTGAAATTCCATAAAAACATCAGATTCGAAACCGCCAAACCCTAACCCTCACTTATAAAATATCAACTTTCACGTCTTTTTCGATTACACAGCTGGAAAAACCTGCTTTTTATCTCCACGCCCGGCCTAGTGATGCACGAATGAGGTATCGCAAGAAAGCTTATTGATACTAGATTCCAGAAATACAACTTTCAAGCCAGCCCAAATTCAAGTCTCTGCTACAAGGGCCTTGACAATCGATAGAACATCAGGTTCCAAACCGCATAGTATTAACTTTCACGTCCTTTTCGATTATGCACCTGGAATAATCTGCTTTGTATCTTCAGGAACTGACTTTTGATGCACGAATAAGGTATCGACGGAGAGAGAATGGACCGTAGATTCTAAAAATACAATTTTCGGACCGTGCCAAATTCCAGTTTCTGCTGCAGAGGCCTTGAAATACAATAAAAACATCAGATTCGAAACCGCCAAACCCTAACCCTCACTTATAAAATATTAACTTTCACGTCTTTTTCAATTACACAGCTGGAAAAACCTGCTTTTTATCCGCACGCCCGGCCTAGCGATGCACGAATGAGGCATCGCAAGAAAGCGTATTGATCGTGGATTCCAGAAATACAACTTTCAAGCCAGCCCAAATTCAAGTCTCTGCTACAAGGGCCTTGAAAATCGATAGAACATCAGGTTCCAAACCGCCTAGTATTAACTTTCACGTCTTTTTCGATTATGCAACTGGAATAACCTGCTTTGTTTCTTCAGGAACTGACTGTTGATGCACAAATAAGGTATCGATAGAGAGCCTATGGACCGTAGATTCTAAAAATAGAATTTTCGGACCGTGCCAAATTCCAGTTTCTGCTTCAGAGGCCTTGAAATTCAATAAAAACATCAAATTCGAAACCGCCAAACCCTAACCCTCACTTATAAAATATTATCTTTCACGTCTTTTTCGATTACACAGCTGGAAAAACCTGCTTTTTATCCGCACGCCCGGCCTAGTGATGCACGAATGAGGCATCGCAAGAAAGCTTATTGATCGTAGATTCCAGGAATACAACTTTCAAGCCAGCCCAAATTCAAGTCTCTGCTACAAGGGCCTTGAAAATCGATAGAACATCAGGTTCCAAACCGCATAGTATTAACTTTCACGTCTTTTTCGATTATGCACCTGGAAGAATCTGCTTTGTATCTTCAGGAACTGACTGTTGATGCACGAATAAGGTATCGACAGAGAGCCTATGGACCGTAGATTCTAAAAATACAATTTTCGGACCGTGCCAAATTCCAGTTTCTGCTGCAGAGGCCTTGAAATTCAATAAAAACATCAGATTCGAAACCGCCAAACCCTAACCCTCACTTATAAAATATTAACTTTCACGTCTTTTTCGACTACACAGCTGGAAAAACCTGCTTTTTATCTCTACGCCCGGCCTAGTGATGCACGAATGAGGCATCACAAGAAAGCTTATTGATCGTAGATTCCAGAAATACTACTTTCAAGCCAGCCCAAATTCAAGTCTCTGCTACAAGGGCCTTGAAAATCGATAGAACATCAGGTTCCAAACCGCATAGTATTAACTTTCACGTCTTTTTCGATTATGCACCTGGAATAACCTGCTTTGTATCTTCAGGAACTGACTGTTGATGCGCGAATAAGGTATCGACAGAGAGCCTATGGACCGTAGATTCTAAAAATACAATTTTCGGACCGTGCCAAATTCCAGTTTCTGCTGCAGAGGCCTTGAAATTCAATAAAAACATCAGATTCGAAACCGCCAAACCCTAACCCTCACTTATAAATATTAACTTTCACGTCTTTTTCGATTACACAGCTGGAAAAACCTGCTTTTTATCTCTATGCCCGGCCTAGTGATGCACGAATGAGGCATCACAAGAAAGCTTATTGATCGTAGATTCCAGAAATACTACTTTCAAGCCAGCCCAAATTCGAGTCTCTGCTACAAGGGCCTTGAAAATCGATAGAACATCAGGTTCCAAACCGCATAGTATTAACTTTCACGTCTTTTTCGATTATGCACCTGGAATAACCTGCTTTGTATCTTCAGGAACTGACTTTTGATGCACGAATAAGGTATCGACGGAGAGAGAATGGACCGTAGATTCTAAAAATACAATTTTCGGACCGTGCCAAATTCCAGTTTCTGCTGCAGAGGCCTTGAAATTCAATAAAAACATCAGATTCGAAACCGCCAAACCCTAACCCTCACTTATACAATATTAAATTTCACGTCTTTTTCGATTACACAGCTGGAAAAACCTGCTTTTTATCTCTATGCCCGGTCTAGTGATGCACGAAAGAGGCATCACAAGAAAGCTTATTGATCGTAGATTGCAGAAATACTACTTTCAAGCCAGCCCAAATTCGAGTCTCTGCTACAAGGGCCTTGAAAGTCGATAGAACATCAGGTTCCAAACCGCATAGTATTAACTTTCACGTCTTTTTCGGTTATGCACCTAGAATAACCTGCTTTGTATCTTCAGGAACTGACTTTTAATGCACGAATAAGGTATCGACGGAGAGAGAATGGACCGTAGATTCTAAAAATACAATTTTCGGACCGTGCCAAATTCCAGTTTCTGCTGCAGAGGCCTTGAAATTCAATAAAAACATCAGATTCGAAACCGCCAAACCCTAACCCTCACTTATAAAATATTAACTTTCACGTCTTTTTCGATTACACAGCTGGAAAAACCTGCTTTTTATCCGCACGCCCGGTCTAGTGATGCACGAATGAGGCATCGCAAGAAAGCTTATTGATCGTAGATTCCAGAAATACTACTTTCAAGCCAGCCCAAATTCGAGTCTCTGCTACAAGGGCCTTGAAAATCGATAGAACATCAGGTTCCAAACCGCATAGTATTAACTTTCACGTCTTTTTCGATTATGCACCTGGAATAACCTGCTTTGTATCTTCAGGAACTGACTTTTGATGCACGAATAAGGCATCGACAGAAAGCCTATGGACCGTAGATTCTGCAAATACAATTTTCAGACCGGCGTAAATTCACGTTTCCGCTACAGGGACCTTGAAATTCAATAGAACATCAGATTCGAAACAGCGAAACCCTAACCCTCACTTATAAAATATTAACTTTGACGTCTTTTTCGTTTATACAGCTGGAATAATCTGCTTTGTATCTTCATCAGGACTGTCTTTTGATGCACGAGTAAGGCATCGACACAAACCTATGGCCTATATACTAATACTATGAATTAGACTATACTTTATATCTACATAATCCCTCATCACCAAATTTTATTTAAAGAAATTAAGTCGCCAAAAATTCAAGGCCTGGCCCTTTACTTTTTTGCACGCAAATGTAGCTCCACTTTAAGTGTCAAAAAATGGACGAAATTTTCTTTTTCGCATTTCTCCTCTTTTTCAATTTTTATGCCAATCTTTGCACCATTTTTCAAATCATAAAACTGTACTCTTACGAAAACGTGAAAAGCTAAACTTTACTTGCTTTGCCTATCTTTCAAAAAGCGGTATAAAATGTAAGGGGCAGTGGCGGCGTTAGGGGGGGGAATTTGCCTCCCCCAAAAAAATTATTAGTCACCAAGTGCGACTGAAGGCTACACAAGCGTTTTGTCGTTATTGGAAAATGTATGGCTTATAAGTTGTCATTACTCATTAGTGAATGCGCGTATACATGAAACTGTTTTTTACAGTTTCAATATTAGTTTGTAAATCTCTGAATGGCAAAACTGCCCAATACAGTACTCCAATAATACGTTTCAAAAAAGACAAAAAAAGCTTTAGTTTTGCAGAGTTAAATTCTCAAACGTGTAAGGCACTAATAAGATGAAAGTATCACGAAATTATTTGAATAAACCACATCGCATATATGAAGGGCGAATATCCTAAAGGAAGGAGGGGGGCGATATTCCTAGGTTATTTGCCCCCCTTTTGAGAGGGGGGGGGGGGATCTCCTGGGGGGAAAAAGTCCTGTGACAAAGGCATGGGCAAATAGCAGTACCTTTTTGAAAATTATATCTTGCCCCCCAAAATATGAGTTTGCCCCTCAAATGCCCCCCCCCCCCAATTCTGAAGCCTGGTGCGGTGGCGTCGCCACTGGTAAGGGGTAATTAGTACCGTTGTTTGGATTGAATAATGGACACAATTGGACTGACCTCTGATTGTGTGAATACAATGTTGATTGTTCATAATTTCACACTTTCCGTGGGCATGGAGTAGTGTGGGGGTGTGAAGGAGTGTGCACTCTCCATACAAAGCAGTAGCCCTCCTCCTGTAAACTGAGAAAATATACACTGAACAGAATTTCATCAAATATTAACCTGGCTTTTAATATTAAATAATATTTACAAAATATTTTTAACTGGAGCAAAAGTCATCCAGTGCTCCCATTTTGCATGTTCATCTTCTTTTCAGTTTGTACAAATACAATTCTGATTCACTGATCCATTGTTCAGTACTGTAGGGGTCTCTTTCGCATCCACAGACAGCTGCACTGAAACCAGGAATTCAATCTGCGACTGCAAATTTAATTGACCATAGTTGACTAAGGCAACCACATTCTTTGTAGTTGAAAAATAATGGAATTAGTGATCAATAGCCATGCTGGTAGGCCGATGGCACCTAACATGAAAAGAAATGTGTTCAAACCATTAGTACCTTGCTGGTCTCTAAACCAGGGTGCGATAATTCGCGTACCAACATACCAGAGGTACGCCAAATTTATGGTCTGGTACTTCTTTGTTTTTAGGCAAGTACCACGTAGGTACGCAGAAATTTGCTATTCGCGTACTTACATTTTCCTTCTAGCAATAACTAGCAGACCTGCCAAAGTATTCAAAACCGTGAAGAACTTTAGCTGTACATGTAAATTCCACAATCCAACATATTTTGGGATGAAAAAAGCCAAAAGGTTATCTTTGCGCTTGATCAAAAAATTTATCGTCATCGTCCGACTGAAAAACAATCGCTTGGGTGAGCGATTTTAAAATCGTTATCGTCAAACGCCGATAATGCCAAAACCATGAAAACAATATTCAAAAAAAAATTTTATTTCCGACCTACCTACCCTAATTTTTTCGCGATATGAAACCGGAACCAGTAAACTATAGGTATAAAAACGCATGACTCGAAAGTAGTCTGTACATGGCAAAAGTTGTCGGAGTACCAGTCAGGTACGGCTAAAAATATTGAATTATCGCACCCTGTCTAAACACCAGATGGTTTTACATTTTGCTGTATCATCACCCATTACAACTTACCATCAATATTTGTAGGAAACCTGAGAATACGATTGAGAGGTGCTAGCCAAGGAGTTGGCAATTGAACCAGAGGGAGATATCTATATGTCCACATCACCCACGAATGACATAATACCTTGGGAAGAAAAACACATTTTTCAACTAAAAATACAGGATGGGTTGAGATGAACTACCAGCTCAGATGATCTATCCACTTACAGTGAGTGCCATCCCAACAACCCACAAAACACCTTTTATTTTAAGACCTTGTGTTTGACGTTGTAATCCTGAAAAACAATAATTGAAGTATGAATGTAATCACTCATTCTTAAATGAATTAATCATCAACATCTGACAATGTTATTCTAGTACCTTTCCTACGGATTTCATCTTCATTTTTATTCATGAGTCGTTTTAGCTTCGCATGCCTGGCAAACTCATGCTATAGAAAATAAAGAAAACAATTTTAGTTAATTTTCTAACAACCATAACAGACACACAAACACAACTGGTTAATACCTGAGCATTTATATGTAACAGCTCATTCTGTTGTTCTCGTAAACTGGTTACAAGCTGTTTTTCATCATAACTCGGTCTGGTTAGAAACTATATAAAATAAAAAGCATTAAACCTATTAAGTTGCAGTGTGCCCTACTTTGTTGTTTGTATCTAACTAATGCCAGACAATTTTATCTGTCAAGGGAAAGTGTTGGGGTTGATTGGTTAACAAGACATTAATCTACCCTATTAAGCTGCAATATGCCCTGATGCGCCTTTCTTTTCACTCCCACCGTCTTTCGAGGTTTTAATTAATCATAATATGACTAAATGTGCACATGGATACAAGATTTAATTTTTATCATTTATGTACAACACATTGTTTATACATATAAAGCCTTTAGCAGTTTCTACAGGGTGTATAAAAAAAAAACGCAACCTCGGAATTTCCCAAGAAATCGACTTTGTTTTAAAGACAAAAGATTTTGAGCGCCTGGGAATTTAAAATAGCACAACTGTCAAAATTACTGCACACGCGAGTGATAAAGCAAAATTTATGCATTTATTTAATGCACAACAACAGTAATATGATCTATTAGCAATTCGATTTCAATTCCCAGGCGCCTAAAATCTTTTATGCTTAGGAATTGCAAAGTGATTTCGTAGGAAATTCCGAGGTTGCGTTTTTTTTTTATACACCCTGTTTACACCACATTGCACAAAATATCTTACCGCCGGAATATAAGCTGTCAAAAATCGACGGACAAATTGAAGTCCAAACACAAGCATAAACACAGCAACGGCGGTCACCATTTTCCCATATTAAAAACCCGGAGGTTATAATTTTTGATACAACCCCCCTGTATTGTACCGAAGAACAATCGATGTTAGACATGTTATTAATGTAAACATTGTAGCACTTGTAAAGGGCTTCATTGTTTTTTTGAACAAAAACGGAAAACCTTGGTTTGAAGTGAAAATTTGAACTTTCTTAAATATTTATATTGGAGTTTTAAAGCTATGGTGGAAGTGATGAGAAGTTCAATTTTTTCCAGCAGATAACGGCGGGGGTCTTAAAAGAACAGTGTACTATATCTTGTCCAAATTGCAGCTGCCAATTTTACATAAGATACATTCAATATCTTTGATGTGGAATAACTGCACAATACACCCATGTGTCATGTTGAATTGCACAAATCAATCACACCATGCACTTGAAAAATGCGACGAAATTGGATCAGGGAAACCATTTTCTTCAACATTTCAAATTTTTGTCATGATAATTCTTGTGTTTATGATCACGACAGCTGTGTTTGGCAACGCCGTCGTATGTTATATTGTATATCAAAAGCCAGCGATGCGTTCATCTATAAACCTCCTGCTCGCGAATTTGGCTCTTGTGGATGTGCTTATAGCAATAGTTTGTATGACTGCTTCATTTGTGACACTTGCTGTACAGGACTGGATTTTGGGCAACGTTTTATGCAAAGTAAATGCGTTTTGTTTTTCGTTTTTGGTTACAGAATCTACATATATCCTACTTGCAATTAGTTGGGATCGTTATCTCATAATTGTTCGACGGGAGGAGACTCTTACTCCATACAAAGCGAAGGTCGTTATTGGCTTAACATGGGTAATATCATTTCTTCTGTCCTTCCCACCGACGGTTGGCTGGGGGAAGTATGGCTATGAGCAGGGGCATATTATTTGTACTCTTGACGATGCTGGCATTGTTGCCTTCTCATATTCGTTAGTGTTCTGTATCTTAACTATAATTATACCTATGCTCATTATGGGATATGTCTATTACAGAATCCTATGTACTGTACGAAAAAACTCAACAAAAATTGTCAACCATCCCCCGGTGTCAGGTGTAGAGACCCGTGTTCACAAGCGAGGCAAAATGAACATCGACTACGGTTTCAAGACTAGAGCATTTTTAACAATTCTCATTCTATTTGTTGGTTACTTTTTTTGTTTTCTCCCGTACCTTGTTGCTCGGTTAGACGCGGTCACAGGTCGACACTTAACAACCACATGTTCCACCGAGGTTGTGCTTATTTTAGTATGTTATCTTAACAGCATGATAAACCCTCTGGTATATTACGTTCGCATCGGCAAATTCAGAGAGGCGTGTCGGGATATCGTGCCGAGTTGTTGCTGTTTGCCATTGTTATGTGTGCCGAAACGACCCCTAAGACGGGTCTGTCCGCATGTGATATACGAAGTCAGTGACCGAAGTTCAGTTTCGCTAAGTCTTTACTCAATGGGAGCTCTCGATTGACTGGATTTTGACATTCATCATATGAAAATATAGAATATTTGTCATAGAAATTATATTTATTATTAATTGTAGATAAATGTGATTTAATTTTAGTTCAATAGAAAATTTATCAAAAATATTTATTATAATATAAATATAAAAACTATTTGCCATTGTATATTGTTGACCCCAGGGACCCTGGTTAAGCTGCAATGTTCCCAATGTCCTGGTTAACTACTATCTACCCATATTTATTTTTAATCCATTATGTTGATCTGTCTCGCATTTCACCCTGCCTATTAACGGTGCGATCGATTATCGTGCAAACTTTACTTAGTCACAGAATAGATCAATAGACTTTGTTTTGACTGACATTGACAATCAAAAGTGATAATTGACATAATTTGTGACATTTGACCTCAATTATTGCGCTATACATTACTCGGGCCTAGGCCTCCGAATTCGCTGACCGCGCATAAACTCAAAGAATTGGAAACGTGTTATAAAAAGTTTTTGAAACTTTGCATAAAGAGTGAAAATATTATCTTTATATAAAAATATTTATACTCTATTATCATCATTCTTCGTTTAACTCACCGCTCGTGTTTAAAAGCTTACATATTCAGGCGTAGTTTGGGCTCGTTGGACGTACAAAAATTGGTAAACATGGCTACTGCAGCTGATGAAACATGTAAGCCCGATGAAAAAGTGGCCTTAATTACCAAAAATTTAAAGGTACTGTAGTGAGTTTTTCAAATATAGAGTTCGAGATTATTTTCTGTGATATTAAGAAGGTTTAAGAATGGGGGGATTATAAGAATTTAGAAACATGTGATTAATATAAATATTATTGAAATATAAGCATGAATGAAGCCAGTATCACAGAATAAGACACACAGAAGGTCGACTCGAGTAACAGCTGCCACGCCATGATTCATCACAATACTGATGCCATGGTCCTAGCCATTGTGTGTTTGAGAGGCATTCCCCCCCTGGACGTTTGCCATTTTGAATATTATCAGGGGGGTGAATGCCTCAAACGCACACTGGCTAGGACCATGGCGTCAGCATTTTGATGACTAATTACGGGTTACGCCAAAATCATAGGAAAAACCAAGAAGTCGGCCTTCTGTGTACCCTATTCTATGCCAGTATGGTCCATGTGTGTGTCACATGTGATGAGATTTTTGTGATATCTATCAGCTGGGTGTTAACACTTGCACGAGATGCAACCATGGTTGGTGCAAAAGCTATTCCGGCCCCCTTTATAAAATAGTGGCGAGCACAACCCGCCTAATCCCAACCCCCCCTGCAACCCGCCCGACCCCCCCTGCTTCCTACATTCCTGTTTTTTGGTTGGATATGAGACTTGAAGTTATTATATTACAGGAAGTTTTAGGAGCTGACAGAATCAAAGGCATTGTTTCAGAAAGACCATTGAAAATCTATTGGGGTACAGCGACAACAGGCAAACTACATGTTGCTTATTTTGTTCCAATGACAAAGATTGCAGACTTTCTACATGCTGGATGTGAGGTATGGCCACATTGACCTGAGGTTTGTGCAGTGTTTGTGAAAGAAAAATTATCATTAGATTATGTGGCATACATATCTGACCACCTCTGTAATAGGTCTAAATCCAATTACTGCAATAGGTACTGTAGTTTCCTGTCATTCAGGCAGTGGCGTACCAGGACAATGTTCCTCCATATAGCCTCTTCATTTTACAAACCAATGCAATTTTATTGATCAATTTACCATTTCCAATCATTTTACTTCAGTTACATGTGAGAGTAGTGTTTCCAGTTTGACTCCACCAAACACTACAGTTTCAGAAGTGTAGTAGCACCACTGGATCAATTAGGGATGGACATTACTAGATCTCTATCATGGGTGGATTTACTGGGGGGGGGAGGGGTTAGGGGGTTAACACCCCACCCTAGACTCTCTAACACCTCTAGTAAAGTGTTCAATCCCACCAAAATTTCACTTCACCCCTCCTATTTTGTGTGAAAGGCTTTAACCCAAACGCCGAACCCTGCCGAAGCTCACTGAGTGGTGCCGCTTGCTCCCAACTAGAACTTTTTCTATCCCTCCTTGTAAATAAATGAAAATCTGCCCTTGATCTCTATGCAAAACTGTTAGACTTTTCTTGTATGATAAATATACTGCCTGAATTATATAGTTCAGTTGAGTTGAGTTTCATCTGTCATCCTAGGTGACTGTCCTACTTGCTGATCTTCATGCGTACTTGGACAATCTAAAAGCACCGTGGGACTTACTCCAATACCGTGTACGCTATTATGAAGAAATTGTAAAGGTTTGTTTAAAGTTAACAAAATTTGATGTTGGGCATAATTATTTTTACTGGTCTTAATACTATGATTTCTCATTTTACATTTTCCCAAGTCTATACAGAAAGTACCCTTTTTTTCCAGCTCTTGATCTCCCTCCTCTCAAAGCAATATGAATAGATATTGAGCCTTAGCATACATTGGTCATTAACCCCCTGCCCTGCAGCAGCGTCTGGTTTGCATGCATGTGAAGACGTGGATAAATATGAACGACTCCTTAGTAATTACATTTTAGACAAAATGTCTATTATTCCTGGACATTATGTATTCTTTAGTTCGATTTACACTACACAACTTTTGCCTAAGACTGTCACATGCAAGGTCCTCATGCATGCTTACAACTTGAGTTGTACTGTGTAAATGAAGCTCACAAAAGTTTAATAGTGTATAGTGTAATCAACCTTTCGATGTCTTTTTCCTAGGGCATGTTAGAATCGATTGCGGTTCCTTTGGAAAAGCTAAAATTTGTAAGAGGAACAGATTATCAACTTAGCAGGTATGGTATTTAATTAAGGAAGGGTTAGTTCCTTAACAGACTAACAAATTGAAGCAAATTCAATTTTTCATCCTTAGGGAGTATATATTAGATGTATACAAGTTGTCTACTGTGGAAACAGAGGTTTGTGTTCTGTGACATAAGGGTTTACATTACTTTACATACATTTTGAACCAGTTTTTAGACATGCCAGTTTTGGTAACAATCTTATTGTTTCATTTCTTTCTATCTATCAGCATGATGCCAAAAAGGCAGGATCAGAAGTTGTGAAGCAAGTACAACATCCTCTCTTGAGTGGCTTACTCTACCCTGGTCTACAGGTATTCATATATTGAAACATTTCACTGACAGGTGTGGGGTGCACCCCCCTCCCACCACCACCACCCACCTTCCTCACCCCACCACCATCCCACCCC